CCTGCTGAGCTAACTGAAGAAGAGACCCACGGTGGCATCCATAGTATCCATCACTTTCAGAGATCAGCACATTTGTTTTGCAAAGGACAAGCAGCAGGGAAGGAACCAGAGCAGAGGGCTCCAGGGGAACCAAGGTTATGCAGCACATCTGAAAGGCAGGTCTGTTATTTTTAGTTGTGTAACAAAGCTCCCTAGGACTTTCCCCTTCTCCCCAAAATTGTTTAAACAGAGGCAGCTTTCAGCCTGTTCCAAGAATCCCAGTCCACACCCATGCCCCTATAAAAAGAATAATATATCGAAGCCATCCTACCTCCTTCTCACTATAGGAGATGTTTCTGATAGCACTCCACTCAAAGGACTTATTTGGAGAGAACCTGTTATTAATGCTGTAGATGTGGATACCTTTGGCATCAACTCCAAGCAGCAGATCTGTATGGTTTTTATTTTGCTAAAAAACAATAGATATCAGTAAATGCCATTTATAGTGATAGGAAACAACCACAGACAAGAACTACACTTATTCTAATACATTAATATTTATCTGTGGTTTTAGGAAATTGACATTTCCACAAAATGTTATTAATATTGTCCTCTAGGTTGACTATAGCAGATCAAATTTTTAGTCTCTTTCTCCCTCTTCCTATTACACACCCAGAGCTACTCAAGATCTTTGACAGATTGTAAAATATTGATCTTAATGTTTTATTCACCTACTCATTTAGCAAACAAGTAAACCAAGTCAGGACAAATAGTAGACAGTCCATCACCAGCAGAGAAAAGCAGAAATCAGGAGTCCCAGTCCCACCTCCTTGGAGGCTTTTAAAAAGACAGTACCATCATCAAACTGCTAAAATAAAGCACTTACAGCAATTGGAAAATAATTGACCCCATACATTTCCAAGTCTTGGGCAATTTTCAGGTAGTTCATTTCAGCTTCATCCCTAGAGAATAAGGCCATGATTATACTTGGAAATTCCAGGTTTTCTCTCCTAGCTGACTCCACATTTCCCACTGGAAGAAGGACAGTCTGGTCCCTTGTAGTTTAATTTTGCCATCTTACTCTCACCAGTAGAAAAAGGATAATAAAAAACAAGACAAGACAGTAAAGCTGTACCTATATTCCATGTCTCTCCTAGCTGACTCCACATTTCCCACTGGAAGAAGGACAGTCTGGTCCCTTGTAGTTTAATTTTGCCATCTTACTCTCACCAGTAGAAAAAGGATAATAAAAAACAAGACAAGACAGTAAAGCTGTACCTATTTTGAATCATGTATAGTGTAGTCTTTATTAAAATTCAAGTCCAGGCTCATCCCTGTGTTAGTTTTGCCACTCCATCATTATTATGTCTCAGACCTACCCTACCATTGTTTTCCATGACAAGAGGATATTTCCTTCAGGAAACAGAGTTCATTGAGAAATGAGTCCTGAACAAATTCTAAACAGAACTTTGGGCAGAGGCCAAAGAAGAGTGAGAATTTCTCCACCCACCATTCTTCTCCCTCCAAGGGGAGGCATAAATAAGTCTTCTGGAAAATATTCAGTAAAAATAGTGCTAAGAGGCACCTAGAACAGTCAAGGAGAAATTGACATGAAACGCTAGGAAAGGCTGCCCCTGGGTGCCAACAGCTCCTCATTCTTAACTGAACTTCCAGTCATGCTGAATGTCTTGAAGGAGCTCAATGTCCACATGGACTAGTCCCAAAACTCAGCCCTGGAGTCTGTGTCTTCACTGTTTTGGTTCCTTGCTGAGTACACTGACACTCTTTTGAGCCATCATTTTCAGAAGGTATAAAAGAGATCAGATTCTTTTTATTCTAGGGGAAGACTGGTGTGATATGGCTCCAGAAAGGCAGCTACTGCATAGGGCAGACAAACCAGCATCTCCAGGCATCTAAAGGCCTTAAATGAAAAGGCTGAACTCACAGGGCTACCTGCAAATTCACAAAACTCAGACTTCCTGCAGGAACTTCTCTCTGCTGCCATCCATGGACTTTGGGTCAGAACTCTGGTGTTAGGTCATGAAGCTCTGCAGAGCCCTCAGCATGTCTCTTCACTTCAAAGCAAACCCAGGTTACAAGCATTTGGAGCTTTACACAAGGTACTTTTTACCCCAGAGAAGTGGGTGATTTATCCTTACTTATAAACTAACCTATTCTTATCACAGCTTGGACACCAATAGTTCTTTGCTCACTCTACAAAAGCCAAATTTCACTTAAGACAGTGAATAACCAGTTACTGAAATGTATGGGATTTCCAAAGAATGACATTATTTCAATACCTGGCAATGCCCCTATGCTCAGCATACCAAGCAGTAATCTTTTCTTCCCACATCTCTGCTGTCAGCTGATACTGCCTGAGGACCTACAGAGAAAGAAAGGAGTTTGGTTTCCTTTGAAGACACAAACAAGTGCTGCCTCTCCCCAGCCATGTGGATGCAGCAATGCAGTTCACAGCTCGGTCACTTTGCCAAGTTCAGGGCAGACACAAACAGCTCCCAATGCCCTGGTTGATCCCACAGCAACAGCTGTGTTGCAAAGAGAAGATTCAAAGGTTTGGTTTTATACAAAAGAAAGACTTACCCTTTTGGGTAAAAGTTCATCGTGGGCTAGAAAGCCTGGCTCATGGAAATTTGGGTCATAGTCACCATACTGTTCCAAGAGAAAGAAAAGATCCTTCAGTTTGTTAGAAGCTGAATGCTAAAGAACTTGCTGCTTGTGTAGTTTGATGCAATGGCTTGAGACAGATTCTTGCTTTCATTCTCCCATGCACAAGGTAACACAATAAACAGGCTCCTCTCCTTTGAACTGTCCACAAAGTTCCCTCCAGCCTGTGTGCCACACATAGGGCTCCAACACAGCACTGAGCTAGGCTACAACCTTAGACTCCAGTCCTGGCCTGAAGCTCCCAGTGACTGCAGCTGTGAAGGAATCTCCCAGGGCTTCAAACCCTTCTCTCAACTACAGGCTAGGCTCAGGAGGTGCCCAACTCCTACAACCTCCTGTAGACAGGCTGGGCTGCTAAGGGCCAGCCCCAGGAAGGGTTTGTGTTTCTGCCACTACCCAAGGTTGGCTTTTGGTGGCACCAAGTGAACTGGGTTCTGAGACACACTAACAAACATCATGTCCTTCCACTGTGAGCCCTGCTACCAGCACTTGCTGTGTTCATGGACACTTTTAAATCTACAGGTAACCACTCCAGCTGGGAGAAAGATGACCTTAAAATGTCAGGTGCAATGAAATCCCCTGAGTTGCAAAAGCCTAATATATAATCCCAAAACCCCTGTAGTGGTGTATAATGCTTCTTTTTCTAGCTACACCTGTACTTCCCAGGTTGACCTGCCTCTTGAGTAGCCAACTTGAACACTGCTCTGCTTTACACACCATCTATGTGTGTTGGTTAAAAAATAAAAATAAAAAACCAGAATGAAAACAGAGCACTTCTGTGCACACACCTTGGCCTGAACAGCGTAAGAAGCCAGTAAAACTGTTGCTTCTGGAGAACAATATATTTCCTCATCCAGTATTTGCTTCTTAACCTAAAAGTAAAAAAAAAGGGGGGAAGCAAGTTAAAGAAGCTCAAAGTCAGGACCCATGTCAGGATTGAAATGAAACTAGACATGCCCAGACTATAACTTGGCACCAAACATCACCAGGATGAGTTAATAGCAGCAACAATAAAAAGGTGCTCAGAAACACAGGGAGCCTTTACTTAGTCTTATATGTAATGACAAGAGAAAAACTCAGCTTTTGAGAGTTAGTGTCTTAATTCTAAGTTCATAGAAATGCCAGGCAGCTATCTCCACACGTTTATATAAGGAGTCCTGAAAAAGAATGTGTTTTAGAACATGAATTTTATTGTCCACGTATCATTCCCTCTAGCACATCATCTTTTTCTTCCAGCTTTGGCAAAGTTAGCTTGACAACATGTAAAACCTCACATTTGAGGTTGGAAGGGACCTCTGGAGAGTATCAAGTCAAAGAAGGTCCAACTAGAACAGGCTGCTCAGGGCTGCCCAGGTGATTCATATTGCCAAGGACAGAGAGAGACTGAAAACCAGAAGTTTGTTCTCAGCCTTTCCAGAATGGGAGAATGAAGGAGACCCCAAAAAGAGAAGCTGAATAATAGAACACTTAATTTATTCAATTACAGAAGCCCCAAGCACAAAAAAAAAATAATAAAGGCCTAGTAAAAAGGTAGAGAGTCTTTTTAACATTCTTTTCATTTTCATAATCTCTGGTGCTACCAAGATCAGAGGTGTAATAGTTTGTAAGATGCCGCTTGATTTTAAATCACTTGGGTAATTTTTACTTAAAAGCCTAACGAGGAAATGAGAAATTAATCTTCACAAGTTTTCCTCTCAGGTGTAATGTACTTAGGCTACTAACAAGCACAAGACAAGAAAATTTTGCATAATGTAGAGTCTTAAACATTTCCAGAAAGCAGTACCTGAGATAGCACTGAACTATCTTCACAGACACACTTGGGCACTGCAGGTTCTGTGAACTGAAATGAACCATCAAGAAAGTTTTTCTTTAAAATTTAGTCCCTGGAGAGCACAATATAGGAACTCGAGTTCTAGTACAAGGAAAATTCCTTCTAAGCTGCTGAAATGGAAAAAATGGAAAGAATGAATAGACTTTTCTTCCAAATTGGAAAGCTCCAGCTTTCATACTCCATGGTGCAAATCATACATTTCAGAACTGAGAACAACTCAAGAGAAATCCCCCATGAGTGCCTGGGGTTGTTTCTGATCAGTTCTTACAAGGACATTTTGTTATAAATCTTTATGAAGGAGGAAATTAGCTAATCTTTGAACAGACAAAATTTAGCTTTAGTCACTGACATTTATTCACACATCTTCCAAAATGCTGTTATGCCACATTAATTTGCAAAGGTCTGAATAGTCAGTAGAGCTGAAACCTGTAGGCATCCAGATGTCCATACATGTTTTTCCTATTAGCATCCAGGTGTGATCTTATGTTCTTATAGTCAGGAAACACTGCAAGTTCAAATTTGTTTCAGTCCTGTTTTTCTACTTTGGTATGAGAAGTATTTGCTAATTGCATATCTGCTAGTCAAGGCAGGTTCAAGGAGAAAAGAAAAACGTGAAGAAAAAAGTCAGGATTAAAAGACTAGCGAAAGAGTTCTGCCCCTCTCATTCTTTTCCAAAATTAGCTTAAGAAACAAACTGCCAAGTGGTTCAGGGTTCTGGATGAAGTTCTATTTAGTATATTAACCCTCAGAAGAGCAGCACTTTCCCATTCCTTCATTAACACATCCTCCACGGGGGACAAATATATTCACTGTGCTTGTTTACAGATCAGACTGAATTTATTCCATTCTGCTTGCACAGACACAGTGCTGAGAGCTACCAGAGGAAACCAACACTCCAGAAGGCTGTGACTTGCAGAGGACTCCACAGCAACTCAGGAGAAAAGCTGGATGTCACAGACCTTGAGCAGCTGACCAGCAAGGGACCATCCAAACCTCAATGCCTGTACACCTACAGCCACAGCCTGTGCTACAGCTTTGGACCCCAGCATGGCTCTTCCCAGCTGATACATCCTTATTTTGATAATGAAGCATCACATTCCAATAGTTTGCTCCTTCATTTCCTTTGTAATGGAGCTAAGGGAACCTTCAGAATTTCTTGGACAAAAGAAAACCAAGTGGCCAATAAGCCAGCTGCCCCTGCAAAGCTATAGCATTAATACTTGTGTGGGGTTATTGCTTTTACTGGCTTCCATCTCATGGACATTTTTTAAATTTTTAAGAACCAGCTCAGTGTACAGACCAAGCTGTGTTCACAGCTCCCAGCTCTGCTCTTGAGCACAGCACTGCTGTCCTGCACTTCCTCAGCAGCTGCCCCTATGGCAGAGCTGAAATGGGCTGTTACCTGTAAGATTTGCCAGGGCTGGGGATTCATTCTGCCAGCATGAGTAGCATGCACCCAGGTCCAGGGGATAGAGAAGACAATTCAACCTGGCTCATCTGACTGGCAGAAATCAGTGTGTGCATGTCTGGATGCTCTGGAAGAAAACCAACACCATACCAAGGGAACTGCACTTTTCCAGGGCCAGTCAGACAAGATGATGCCTCCAGGCTGGGTCTTTAAAGACTCACACACTGTGGTGAATCTTGAGTTGTAGCTGTGTGTGAAGCTTGCTAGAGGAGCAAACCTCTATCTCAGAGTCAATATCACATTCTACGATTTTTTTTTGCCCCATAATCCAAAATGAAGATTTAAGGAGGCCAGGTTAGGGAGCACTTGTTTTCTAGTGATTGTGCCATCTACAGTCACACACAAGATCTCCCAGCAACCACCTGCTCTATTTTTAGGGACTTCTAAGTTTCAGCTTCAGGGATAGGTTGCAGTCACAGGTCTTGTTCCATCTGCAGCTGATATGGGTGAAAAAGCTTATTGTCCCCAGCTGCTTATCACCATTCCTTCCCTCTTCTCCACCTTCACAACTGCCACCATAATTGCTTGTGTAGGCTCTTCTGTGTACATCTAATAACAGGTCTCTAATTCAGCTCATTTTGGAAGAACTAGGTTAGGGAATGGTTACACAAGAGGTTACACCAGTGGTTCTAAGATGACAATGGCAAGGAACTGTTCAGACTCCATCAAGCTTTGCTGCAGTCAGAGCAGAGCAGATGACACAATCCCCAAGATAAATTCTGAAGCTGATAAAAATGCTGGTTTCACTTTCTGCTGCTCAGCACTGACCAGTTAGGGCAAAGGCCCCACAGTTCTTCATACTGTGCCAGTCTTCCATAGATTATTTCTTTTAAAACCCACCCTGCAGAAGCAAAACAAGTCTGGAATATTCAGATGTGGAATTTTACCAGCCAAACTGCTAAGTGTAAAAGTCATTTTACATTAAACTGCAGGTCTTAGCAATTTAACTCCCATTTGCAGCACAAACAATAAGAGAAGCCATCAGGAGAACAAAAACCTGCAGAAGGCAAACAACATTCAGCTTAGCAGTACCCAAACTACAGCAGCCAGGAGAGGTGTTTGTATTCCATAAAAAGGAGACCTTCCTAGAGAGACTGATAAAGCCAAAGCCTGCAGAATCATTCTGAGACTAACAGCTATTGGCAAAAGGAAAGACAATCCAAATGACTTAGATAAATACAGAAGGAATTAATGGCTAAAAACTGTTCCTGACCTGAAGGAAGAATAAATGCTGGGTGATTTCCTGCAATAGCTCCTCCTCTACCTTCTCTGGGTAGAATTTTGCCAAAAAATGTAAGCTAATGGGATCTTCTTTGGGGATTTCTTGATCCAAAACCTGTTCAAAAATAAAATCAGCAGCAAAAATTGCAGGTAAGTGTCTCAAAACAATATTTCAGAGGAAAACCAAAAAAACACCAATAATCCACTTATAACAGCCTTTCCATATTTTAGAAGGAAGGGCAATGCTGAGCTTTAATCTAATCAGTGCATGCAGTGGTGACTGATACATGACACTTCAGGCCAAATGAGACAGAAACAATCAGACCAAATAACACAATGAACTTTAGTCTTAAAAAAATACCACCTAAAACTAGGAGTTGTCATGTAACATGTTCCTTTAGCTCCTGTGCTAGGAAAAGGAAATCTTTTTATAAACAGAAGATTGCCACTCTTATGTTTTGCTTTCTGTACCTTTTTGTCCATCTTTAGCCAGGTGCACATTCCTTTCAGTGTGTACTGCAAGCCAAAAAACCATGTCTCCCTTAAGCCAAGTGCCCGGCACACCAGATCAAACAAATCCTTTCCCTTCCACTTCATCTGAAAGAAAAAGAAAATTGAGAAAAAGAGATATGTCTTGAATCAGTTTGCTACATTTTAGTCAAGCAAACAAAGCTAGCCTACTACAAATTATTTTTGTCTACTTGCATGGGTCAGCCACTAAAAACTTAATGGCAAACGAAAGAACTTTTGGGCAGTATTTGGGTGGAAAGCAGGAAATCACCCCTGCAAAAGAGCAAGATCTGGGGAGAAGGGAAAGATAGCAAAGGGTTTTATAGTAAAGACTCTGATCTCTAAATCAAATTTTCCAAAGCCTTTATTTTCACAACTGCCTGCAAGCATTCTAGATCAGAAAGTCACAGAAGAGACTTGTGACTAATCCTTGTCTCTGAGGGACCTAGGAAATTAAATACTAAATGCCCCACAAGACAAGCAATTCTCTCCTTAAAATTGTCAGTCCTATTGGACCTCAGTCTAACTCCTCTGCTCAAAATTACTCTGACTTTCTTTGCTTTTGCTGGTGATTAGGAATTAATCAGGCACAGTTCTGTCTCCTGCACAGTACAGCCCAGTTCATTTAGTCATTGATCACTTGCTGTATTTGCTTTCTTCCATATATTTCCACAGACATGAGCTCTCTATCCAATTTACCAGCTAGCCATAACTAACAGGAGAAAAGCTGTTTCATTTGATCATTTTTCTCTTCTGCCCCGAGGTATAAACCAGCCACTGTAGCTAAAGAAATAAACTGGAGTTTACAAATGGCAAATCACATCTGAAGAGACTATCTCAGATCAACTGACTACAGAAGTACCATTTTATACATTAAGTATAAGCTAAGTAACATCTTGGGAGCAGCTCTGACCAGACCTCTTTATCCAAGCTGGCAGTGTCCTAACGAGCTCTGTCACTCACAACAAAAACATTAAAAGAATTCTGGGGAGAAGTCAGTTTACTTCCAAACAAGCCCTGCAATGTGCTGCAAAGCTTCTGAAGCCAGCAGGCCTACTGCTCATTTAGCTGTGTCAGTCAAATGGATTTCATGCAGCTTTGAATTCTGAAGACTTGCTTAACAGAATGCCTTGAGCTGAAGCAATTCATTCTTCATAAAAATAGATGAGTTTTAAGAACATGGTCTTAAAATAAAAATCTGCACTTTTCAAAGTTCTGTCTTGCTGACTCAGACAGAGGTCAGGGTCCATCTCTCTCCAGCATTCTGCTGAGGACTCTTACCTCACAGCTGAACTCCATTTCAGCATCCACTGTTATAATTTTGACTTTAAAAGTCTTTGGCTGTTTCTTCTTCAGGCCTCGGATGGACATCTTTTTTAGTTTATGAGGAAAGCCACACCTGCAATCAAACATGCACCACATTTAGGGCTGGAAATTCAGCAGTGTTTCCTTGGCTAGATTCCAAAGTAGGACAGGCCCAAACTTGCAGAACAAAGTCACCTTTAAGTATGCATTTTCCTGTTCAAGTCTATAAGAAAGGATCTTTGAAGCAAAACATTTTGTTTGCACCTTAAAAATCAGTTGCTCCAAAATGTCATCCCTGCCTTTCCCCTCAGGCTTCAGCAAAGGTTGGGTTCCTGCAGCACTCAAAAGACCTTCACTCAGCCCACACATTGCAGGAACCAGGGCCCTGCCTCTCCCTGCAGCTGAGGACACAGAGGAACCTCCAATCCAGCCCTGGTGCTCCACAAAAGCACTGGATCCAGGCAGTGCAGCAGCCTCTTGCTACAAAACTCCACAAGTTCCATAAAACTAATAGATACCTGGCTTTTGAATAATGCCAACAGGAATATGACATTTCTCACCCCTTTGCACATCCAAGCAAAATTCCCTTTCCCAGTGCAGGTCTCTGTGGTCTGTACCAACCCCAGATGCAGCAGTGGAGGCTCCACTTGGAAAACACATCACAGAGCAGCATCATGCAGCAAAACCTGATCTCAAAGGCAAATTAATTCCTTTCCATCTGTTATGGCTTCTTGAGCAACTATAACTATTGAGTTTCCTTACAAAATTACATCTAAACTCCCTAAAATTATAGAATGCCAAGACAGGCAGTGAAATTAAGCTGAATTTACCATGTTCTCTTGGACATGAAAGTGATTTAGAACAGAAAGTTACCCAGTGGAGTTCTTGTGAAATTGATTCAATTGTGCAGAAGCCTACAGAAAATTCCTTCACAAATCTTCTATTGGAAATGCAACTGCCTGCATGTCAGCAAGGAAACTGATGAGACATGCTATTTCCACAGCCACAAGGGTTTTGTGGATAACTTTCAAACTAAATGTTGAAAGTTGGGGTTAAATGATAGTGTGAGTCTGCACTATGCAGTGCTCAGATGTTTATTTCTGAGCCTGTAAAGTTTTCTTTTTGTGCACAACGTAATTAGTAACTGCAGACTATATAGGTCAAGATGAGACTGAGGCATTCTTGGTTTCCTACAATATAAGGCTGTTAGAGCATGGCAGACTTCCAGTCTCTCCTTTAGGAATTCCAAAATAAAGCTTTAGTTTAAACTGAAAAGTTCCATTTGTGTGCACCTTCCAGGTTTTTATAAAATGTCTTGTTCCCTTCTTTGCTTCTGCTGAGCTCTAAACTGGCCTGCAAATGTGCTATATTTTCCACTTACTTTGCATGTGTCACTCATCCACAAATTTCAAGCAGCTAAAGAGAAGGTAAAATGCATGTGGAAGTTTTTCTTTTCAAATTGCAGGGAAGTTGAGGCAGAGAAGAGATGAGTTAGTTACCAAGTCATATGGACATCAGCAGAAGAGGTGAGAACAAGCACTTCAGACAATTCAGAGAGGGGAAAAAAAGGCCAGAAAGAAACTCATCTTTCTGACACCACTGAGACTAGTTGAGGAGTCCTCTCCCTCCAGTTGGCTCTGGTGAAGCTTCTCCTGAAGTCTTGTTTGGTTTGGGGCAACACACTTCAGGAAAGACAACTGAAGAGAACCCAAAGGAGAGCTCCAGGGGCTAGAAAATCATCTGTGGTAAAATGAAAGTACAGGTTAGCACAGAGAAGGGCCAAGTGTGGTGAGATATTATTTCTGCTCTTTGTGACCACAATGGTTGGGACAAGGAATAATGGGCTTAATTAGATTTCAGACAGGTTACACACTGAGAAAAATTCACTACCAGTAAGCACATTATGATGCTGGAAAAGCCTAGGATGGAATTTCTGTCTTTCTGAACTTCTATCCGAAACACTGTGGCAGGATCTGCTCCCTCCTCAGGACTGGAGGGAACTATCTCCCTCCCAAGCACTGGTCCCAAGTTGGCCCTTCTGCTGGTGCCACAAGTCCCAGGAGAGTCCAGTTCACAGCAGAAGCTTCAGGGAGAGGCACATCCAGAGCCCAAATCCTGTTTACCCCAGGGTGTCCCCTTTGTCCTCGGGGAACAATTTTTAGAGTGGAAATGCTGCCCCAGAGTGCACTGCCTCTATAATCCAGGCAACACCTCAGTGCCCACTGAGCAGAGCTCGGGTCTTTGCTGTTCAGCACAGAAAAGTGTTTTCCATTGAGGAGAAAGGAAAATTTAAAAAAAATTAAAAATGACCATAGTATCATAGGATAATGTGGCCAAAGTAACATGGAGGAGACATCAGGAGAAGGCATCCAAAACAGCAGTAATTATTCCAGTAATTTTCCATCTCTAATCTGCAAGATGCAACACATCTAGTAGCAACATCTTATTTTAACCTGTTACATTCCAAAGGTCTTTCCTGTCCAGTTTTCTTGAAAGCCAGAGATTTACTGTAAATAACTGTACCATTGGATACAGCAGTTCAAGCACAAGAACTACAAACTTCTGTGCAATACTGGAAACAACCCCTTCTTTCTAGAAGAAACACCAACAGCTGAAGACAAAGGAGAAAACAGCTTCATCATTCATTTTTAATATGAAACTTAAAACGGCCAATTGAATTAAGCAGGAACTTGAAGTTAGGGCCAGGGCAGAACATTCTGAAAGAGTTTCATATGGAAAGCACTGAGCAGGTAAAATTGAACAACTGCAGAAGAATGCACTAAATTTCTCAAAATATGACAAAAACAGTAAAGCCCTTCATTTGGACTTTGAAGTTCTTTTTTTCTTATATAAGCTGGTTGAAACGACAATATAATTTGTTCAACATTTCCAATAGCATTTTTTTCACCTTCCAGTATTTTTATTCCATGGAAAAGTACATTCTGACTCGCAGTGAAAAGACATTTTTGAATATAAAATTCTCCCAAGAAATGTAAACTGCATTTTAATCAATAGCACTGGTAAAGAAATAGAAAAGTTTTTCACACCGAACAGCTTAAATGAATGTCAGATACTGACAACATAAGCAAAAGAACTTAACAGTCAAGTTTTTAGAAAAGCAATTTATTAAAAGAAGAGAAATCTTGCTGAATAAGACAATCTGGGTTTGCAATCTTTTGTTTAAATGCAAAAGCAATCCCCTCTCTACAGATTGCTGCTAATAACCACATTTAACTGTGAATCACGTGCAATGGGTTTCAAGTCAGAGTTTGTCACTGAGCTCCAGAGATTGATTTCTGCAGCCACCACAGGGATCCAAGCACAAGCCTCAGAAGCAGCAAAATGAGATGGATCACAGTGTGTCATAACCTGACCAAAGGAACACCCTGATCCCAAACAGGGAGGGGTGAGAAAAGATTCCTGCCCAGCCAGAATCTGGGAACAGGTGGTTCAGAAGCTGTGCCATGTCCACAGCTTGTGGACAGGCTGTTCAGAGGCTGTGCATGCCCCAGCTTCTCCTGCACCTCATGAAAACCAACATAAAGGTGATAAAAGCTTTACTTGATGAGGGGAACAGAAAGGCAGTGATGAGGAATATAATTAGCAGGAACTGAATGGCCCCAAGTCTGCCTTTTAGTGTGTTCATATCCAAGAGGAATGAAGTGACATCCACCAGCTCTGACTGGTCTTCTCCTTCCTTGACACTGAGGAAAACGTGGGAGTGTGAGGGAAGCTGGGAACAGCAGCCAACAGGCAGAAGAGCAGGCAACAGGCAGAAGAACTGGCAAGGCCACTCTTGCAAGGACTGATGTTATCTGTACCCCAGCACTAGGTGGGCAGTGTTACACCACTGTCCTGCATGTCATCAAAATGGGAAATTACCCACACATCAGATACCCCTTTACTTACAGTATCAACTAAAAATTACAAAGGGAAAGTAAATGAAACCAGCATTTCCCCCAAAAGCTCAACAAACCCACCAGAATTTGGTCTGTTAAGAGAAAGACACAGTGAAATACCTCAATGAAAAGTTGTAATTAACCTTCCCAAGAGTGAGAGTACAATTTCCTTTCAGTTTAGCATTCCCAGGGTGAAGGGCTGGTTGGCAGGGCTCCCCACAGGATATAAAGATTGCCCTTCACATGGCACTTGCTCTCAGGGACAACTGTTAGCATCCAATCACACTTTGGCCAGCCAGTGAAAAGGCATCTCTTGTCACACACACACCAAGTGCCAGCAGCAGCACCTCCTCAGGTGAGACCTCATTAGACTCTGCTACAGACAGGCTGGAAAACATGGGTATTGTGAGACCCTCTCATCCCCCAAAACCAGCCTGCCCTTGAGGATCAGCACACACACAGGGCAGCAACTGTACCATTTGCCAGCAAAGTCCTTCCACAAGCTGGAAATTTATATAAAACCTTTAGGAGTGCAGCATGGTTTAAAGAAACAAGGTTTGGGAAGTACTTTAAGAGCCACCAGTAGAAGATGCTTGAAGCATCAGCTGCCAAAGTACATTACCAGAGGTAATTCTGCAATTGGAAAATTCTCTGTCGTTGCTGAAATACTGCAATCATCATCACAATGAATTCTGACCTATTCTGTTTTTCTCAGCTCCTGAATTTCTATACTTAAACTCCAAAATTGATGCAAGCAATTTGAATGCAGACAATAGAGGAAAAGCATTTTGGGCTTTTTACAGTTGTTGACTCACACTCTGCTGGTGCTCCCTGCCCTAGGAACAATTTAAGCAAAGAACTCACAGTTTCAAAATGGGTCAGCAATATAAAGGTTTTTCTCAGCTCTCAATCTAACAAGTAGTTATCTAAAGTCACCAGTTGGAACCAAGACTTACCTCACGGATCATTTCCTGAATGAAGACAGGAAGAAAAATTCTTTTAAATCAAAAATTCCGTATTTTTCAGCAGGCATCAATATTCAGCCCTTGCAAGTTCTGCCACTGAAAATGAAATCCAAGAACAACTTTTATACTTGATTCCCTTTCCTTTGTTTCCCATGATCTGCAGCATGTTAGCGCCCTCTAAAAAATCAAAGAATTGCTTTCCCAGGTGATATGAAAGGCTCTTAACCATTTCCTGCCTGTGCCAGCAAGACTCCTCCCAACTTCTCTCCACTGTAATTCAAGCAACAAGGTACCAAAACAAGAGAAGCCCATCAATCTTGGCTTGGACATGTGTAAGAACTGGTAATAAACTTCCAAGTAACTCCTCTGATCAAACTATCTCAGCAGTCTCCAGGTACACAAAGAGCAGCCTGTTCTCACCATACCCAGCCACCTTAAAGAGGGGAGCTGCAGGGTTGTCCTAGTAAGTAAATACAATTCCCTACCTGCCCTCTTCCTGTGGTGAGAGATGATGGGACAAGAATGCCAGAAGAGAACAAGCCTGAAAAATGGGCAGCAACCAAAACACTTGGCAGGGGAAAAAAGGTAAGTGTACACATTTAAATAAAAAGGGATGACTTCAGCCTGAAGTTACAGGGCAGAGAGCACAAGCCCTTTGAGCTGCCAGTCACGTTACCCCAAAGGCAACAGCAAAGTCAAGGCTTTTTTTTGCCATTATTTCATATGTAAGGTTTTTTTTCAACCCTCCATTGTAGATACCTATTTCTTGAAGCTGAATTTCTACTAGGATATGGGAAAGTAAGGGCAAGGAGCCAGCTCTAATTTCAAACACTTTATCACTATTCACACAGAAAACGTTCAGTATGGGATCATTAACAGGTGGAAGTGCACAAAACTGACTTCTGTACAAACCAATAGCACCTCAGGAGCACAAGAAGGGACTGTGCTGACCCAGGGCTTCATTATAGCCTAAAACGGCCCCTCAGCTCTCACACCTCAGCCCCCTCACCTCCTTCCACTGCCTCCAGGCCGCGGCCTGCTGCAGATCGTGCCCACTCAACACCTGCAGAACGGGCAGCCAGGGCGCTCATTTACACAGAACGTCAGGCCGGACGCAGCTGTGCGGGCCCTGAGGCCGGGCAGGGCCCCCACAGCCAGCAGCGCCCTGCGGGAGGAGGGCGCACACCCAGCCCCATGTCCCCCGGCTGCAGGCCCGGCAGGGCTGCCCCTCGGCCTAAGGAAACAAAGCTTTAACCCCCAGAGAGCTGCCCCGGCCCAGCACCCAACCCACTCCCCTCAGCCCCACACAGGCCCTGAGCGGCCGCGCGCCTGCGCTTTTAAAGGCTCTGGAGGCCCCGCCCCCTTTGACCCCTCCCCTCCATGGCC